TCCCTTATTCATCCATTCACATCCAAACCGAGTTTTCACCTAACTTAATCATGAAACACGCTAAATTAAGTATCTAAACAATAAAAGTACAGTCAAATACTCACGATTGATGCCACGGATAAGCGAAAAACCACACTTATTAAATACTCTCAAATTTAAATATTTGTTTGTCTTCGAATAAAGTAAAATAAAGACTCAACCTAACGCTAAACATATATACTCAAATCAACATATGTTATTTAAATTTCAAAATTCAAAAACATTAATGAAACAAAAGAATGAAGAGTTAGTTCACAAACTCCACATATCGTACATTCACCATTGAGTGTGTGTTGGTCATTCTCAATTTTCTGGAGGATGTGATTAAAAATGAGAGTTTTGAAATAATGATTTTTTGGGGGATGTGATTAAAAAATAAGGAATTTTTTTTTATTTACGAGTAATATTATTTTACGGGAGAATGTGTGGTTGAAAATGAGTTTTTGAAAAAAAAAATGGTGGCCAAACATATGCTAAATCCGAAATCGATGACCAAAACTTGGTGCATTTCATGTATCAGGCTTGTATGGTCCTGAAATATGGGTGTCCGATCTTTATGGGCTAACAGGAAAAGTACAACCTGTAAGGCGGGCGTAGGGTGTAGAAGGTTTTGATCCTAAACAAAAACAGCATTTATAGTGGTTTTGCTATGCTCTCAATACACTTAAGTGTGTTTCTTTTCTTTTTGTTTCACTTCTATTTTGGGAATTTTTTTTATTTTCGAAAGTAGGTTTTACTTCACATTGCAGTCAGCCTTCTTCTTCGGTAGATCGTCTCCTAAACATTTATAATGAGTAGGGTTGATTACTCAAGACTAACTTCACGCAATAATATATGTAACTTTTTCCTATGTACCACAGCAAGTAAAATATCTTTTATTTCCTTGTTTATTTATTTATTTTAGGCCAACAATAAGAATTGAATAATAACCAGGTGATGATGGTATTGATTTTGGATGGATCTTATCACCTTCAAACTTATTCTAAACAAGTTTTCAGTATGATTATATTTGGGTTTAATTAGTGTACTAACGATACACTATGGTCCTCCGTCTAATTGACCAAAGTGAACTTATCTTGGTGCTCCTATCCATAGGTGCCTAAGTGTCGACTACAAGCTAGCTCGATAATAATCGAACTTCGGCCGCACGGTATATCCCACTAATCAAGTCGAGAAATACTATCCGTTTGGGCAGCTACGCCCGTGATGAGTGGCCAAATGTGTCTGCCCATGTCGATCTTATTACGTGGGCCAAGTGGTAGAGCATCCGAGCCCTC